TAATCTTTATGGCTCAGCTTACAGAAACTGCCTCTCCGGTTAACCCTTATTACATTGTAACAGCTAAGGCAAAGCGCCCATCGACCTGAGTGACCTTGAGTTGGCTACGCCCACCCAGTCACATGACCACCGAGCCCCACCTACCCAGATGATCATTAGAGCAGAGAACCGGTTGTTAAATTATTTGAATCCCACCACTGGTTCTAATGCAACCTTAAACACTCAAAGAGCCACAAAGGTCCTAACCGGAAGCCCCCCTGTTAAATTCTGGAGCTGACTAGAAATCCGGTTTCCCCACCATAGAGTCTTTTCCTAGTGTGGCGTCCTTTTTCCTCTACCTGTCCTATCCGAAAGCCCAATCAATTGTGGAGCTGACTGGAAAACCCACATCTTGCCATAGAGTCTCCTCCTGGAGTGCCCTGAACCCCCTCCTACCCCCCCACCAGAAGCTCCTCTCAAAATTGTGGTGCCGACTGGCGACAGGGAGCTGCAGCAGAGGGATGAAAGAGCCACATGCGGCTCTGGAGCCACCGGTTGCTGACCCCTGTTCTAGAGAATCCAATCCACATGCAATTATTCTGAACAAAGAAAACGGTATGTCCTTTGTTCTAGGATTAAGTTCTGGAGGAACTGAACAGTTTGTCTTCAACTTGACCTGTGCCCCAGGCTGCCTTTAGGATGTTGCAGAAATTCAAATCAAGACTCTTACTTGTGACACGGAGAAGCACGTACGTCTCTCGTTCTCCCAGGAGTTCTGTCGCATAGTGATATTTGTTTTGAAGTAAATTCTTGACTTGGCCACTCTCATCGGCGAGCTCTATTTCCTCTGAAATTCAGAATTGATCCACAAGTTAAGTAGCTTATATAAATGGTCCCCTGCCCTCTTATTCTTTCCGAACAAGGTAAATACGGTTCACACCAATGCACATTGATAGAGTTACAAGGGACTTCTATTTCCTTGTTCCTTGCTTAGAGACGTATCAATCATATTTCATACACTTCCCTGTTTATCTTTACCCAACAGGCAAAGGTAGAGTGAATTCAAATGAGTTCATTATTACGGAAATTGGGTTTAAATGTAAACCCAACTTTAGATGATGTCTATTCATTCATAGCGGCGTCACCTTTATCTTCGTATCCACAGCGGTATTTCATGCCGTCGAGCAAAATCTGGACTTTGCAGTGTATATTAAAAAGATCGGCCTTGTGTTCTAGGAAGGAAGGAAGGGGGGAAAAAAAACAACAAAGATTGAAGCATTTCTCCAACTTTGGAATGGATGTCAACCAGAGGTGGGTTCCTACCAGTTCGCACCTATTTGGCAGAACCGGTTCATCAAATCTACCGAACCGGTTAGAAGAGGTTCCATCAGTGGACCCGGAAAGCAGGCCATACCTACAGAAGGGGTTCCAAAAATTTTTGAAACCCACCACTGGAGGAGAGAGATACACACAGAGAGAGAGAGAGAGAGAGAGAGAGGCAAAGACACAC